ATTAAATTTTAGTCTGGGAAGCCAGACAACCCACCTGAAAAACTCGGAACACTGACTATATGCCACTTCCATCACTACTGACTTATTCACCCACTGGACACACATGTGTGGAGTGGCTGAAGCTGTGCCAGGCCTGCGCTCAATGCTCTAGTGACTTAGTTGAAATCCTCTTGCCATGAGGTCTTCACCAGAAACTGTGAGCCCTGTGAGGACAGCCTCTCGGCTCCTATGCTGACCGACGCATCACTGTGGGCCTGGCATGGTGCCTACCAGATAAGACATGCTAACAAGGTGTTGGCGTTTTTTTAAAGGATAAATGAGTAAGGGATGAATGAATGATATGATACAAAGATGATTAAGATGAACTCCTTGACCTGAGGGAACACATGTTCTAGCTGGAGCTGGAATTAGGTCCCCAAAAGGGGGAGGGAAGTAGAAAGATAAAGGAGGAATTTCAGGCAGCGGGATCAGGCTGAGTAAAATACTAAAAATTTTTATTACAGTTATGCTAATACCTTCAGGGATAACAGCAAAAAAATGTGTAATCGAGCTTCCACATTTCTAACACCGCCCCCCTCCCCCCCCGAAATATTACTTTTCATAGAAAAAAGAAACTAGAGTCCCCTTTGTACCTGAAGTCAAAGGCTAGAAAGGAGTGCTGTCACACAGTCTTCTAGGTGAGGTCACACCCAACCCTGCCCAGCGGTACCTACTCGCCTTTGACGAGGGGTGCCAATCACCACCCCCTTCCTCTCCCCCACCCTATGGCTAATTAGGAAAAGACACCGGATAAATGGGGATCAGGTATCAGCTTTAGTCAGGGTCCACTGGCAGTGACCAAATGGGAGAACTGGCAAGATCTCCTACTTCCCAGTCAGAACTGAACGGCCTGACTGGCCATCAGGGCGAATCGGATTTAAAAACCCAACTGAACCGTCCACTCCACTCGCCTGTCCCGACGGTCCACGAGGAAACAGGAAACAAAGGCACAGGGCGTGCTCTGCGGAGCAAAGGGAGAAAGGTGGAATTCTGTTTCCCACTTTTGAGGCAAAGTGACCTGCCGATCCACTAAACAATGTGGCTGACCAAGGGGACTAGCCACTTCCTGGCAGGGACCAAAGGACCAGAACGGTCCCCTGCAATGGCTTCCGTTAAGGAAACACGCGGAAAAGACATGAAGGTCCCTGCCTCTTGCGCTTCATGTGCAACTCTTCGTTTAGGGGAGAGAGGATCCTATCTGGTTTTTGGATGAAGCAGATGCTTGTTCTGTTGCTATAGTAGCAGAAAGCCAAGCATTCTGATTTATTTCACCCCCAACTAAGAATGGCCTGATCAGACAAACTTACTAATAACATAGTAACCAAAACAGGGGACTACAACTCAAATCTCCTAAAATCAGTCATTTTATTGTTTATTTGCCTTATAAATAATAATCTGGGGGAAATGAGGTCATTTAGTTGCCTGGGTGTGCATTCTCAAATAGCTCGTCTTGGAGACAACACTAGGAAACAATATTGCCCACATTCAGTACATGTTTTATTATGATTTTATTTTGGTCATGGAGAGTCCAGATATAGAACCTTACTTTTTTTTTAGACTGAGTCTATGTCATCAGCCCTGTTAAAGAAACAGAACTGTGGGGTCATGAAAGCCTTCCCACCTTTTTTCGGTCTATGTGCCTGAGTAGACCCAAAGATTTTTTTTTCCCCTTTTTGGAAAAACCTTGGCCTTTTTCTGCTATAACCCAACCACTTTTTCATAATGAAGTCTTGGGCTCTTTGGCACTATTTATGAAAAACAACCAGGGAGGACTGCTTGAAGGACCACAGTCTGCTTGTCCAGAAATTCTAAAAGGTACATTTGAATTAAGACAAGTACCACCATACGATTTCACTTATATGTAGAATCTAATGAACAAAATAAACTAACAAAAAAGTAGAAACAAACTCATAGATAGAGAGAACAGCTATAAGAGGGCGGGGAGTTGAGGGCTGGGTGAAAAAGGTAAAGGGATTAAAAGAAAAAAAAAAACAACCCTCATAGACACAGACAACGGTTTGCTGATTACCAGAGGGAAAGGGGGGTAGGAGGAGGCAGGAGAAGGTAAAGAGGCGATAAATGGTGACAGAGGAGACTTGACTTGGGGCGGTGAACACACAATACAGTATCCAGATGATGTATTATAGAATTGGACACCTGAAATCTACATAATGTTATTAACCAATATCACCCCAATAAATTCAATGAAAAAAAAGAGTTCACCTGCTGTAATACTGAACTCAGGGAGCTGCACCTCCTATAGGAACAGGATAGATGATGCTGTTTATATCATGACACTGCCCACATGGGGTCCCCAAGAGGAAACGACTCTCTGAGCCCAATAGTAAGAACACTTCCACTTCTCCTCAGGAACTGAATTTTCTGTCTCTTTGGGTCTTCGCAGGCTGAAACACCTACCAGGCTCACCTCTCAATGAGAGCGGTTAGAAAGCTCAGAGTGGGATTTGTGACCACCTGTAACAGTGTAGATCATGCATGTCATTAATCGCATTCCCGGCTCTCCCTGATGGTAATTATTCTTACTTTCTTCTTTATCCATATTTTTATTGATTCTACCGTGTATTTTACATATCCTTCTAAACTGTTCTATATCTTGCAGCAGGATGCTATGTAAATGAAACACAGAAAAATCTAAGCCGAGACCTGATCCATGCTCACAATGCGATTACACTCCTCTAAGTTGTGGTGGGCAAGTGTCTGGAGTTTCTAAAGCTTTATTCATACAACGCCAGAGCACTGGGCCGAGAAGCGAACCCTTCTGAGTACACCAGACTGGCCTGCTTGTTCATCAGGAAGCTCTGGTGCTACGTAGAAACTGCCTTTGAGCTCTTAAAAGTAGCGACGATAATAGTGTTGTCACAGTCTAACAATAAAATGATGACAGAAACGTTTCCTTTTTCCAAGAGCCCAGCACTCCAAAGAGAGAAGAGAGACTACTATGAAAACTTGAAATTCACTAAACGTGAAATCTTCCATGATTGACACCTTTTCACCCGGATTTATTCTCTTTCTGGGAGCACAAGAGAACGACTAAATAAACCAGAAATACTAAAGATAGTTCTAACAGCATATACAGAATGGCATGGTTACAGTTACCTTAAGGAAAAAAGTTGTGATGAGGCTAACATGTAATTTTACTTTGAATTTTAAAAGAAGTTTTTGAGCTATTTTAAAATTTCTACCATTGAACTGTACAGCCAGATATTGCTATATGTAATTTTAACAAAAGCACGATTACTGTCTCACTTGAAAGAAAACATTTCCATAAACTGTTCTGCACTTAGTTCCTTTTTAATGTCCGGAAAGTCTAGTCTTTTAAAAATTCACCTCATATTTCTCTCTTCCAGAATCTAAATGTGAAATATTTTCCTTAATCAGTCTTTCATCTAAGAGCAAATGAGACTAGTTCCCAAATTGTTTAACAGACAAAATATTTTAAAAAGACAGTATATGTGAATTTCCCACACTATTTTAGACTCAGATTAATTTGATAATTTCTTCTGAAATCTGTAATTTCAACAACAAATACTAAGTGCTTTGGGGATTTTCAGGCAAATACAGGTGACCTAAAGTTTCATTTCTAGAAAACACAACTAATAAAAATCTCAGAATTCTTGTTTTTGCTCAAAAATATTAGTTTAACCTCAGCAGATACCTGCTCTCTTAAGAGAGCTGTGTATGTGCCCGGGGAGGAGCGTCTGTTCCAAGTGATAAGAAGGGATCTGTGTGTGTTGGCAGTGGGCTGGGACCTTCCCTTAGGGCCTCTGAGGGTTTGATCTGGAGACTAATGATAGCAAGTTTGAGAGAATTTTTCCCTTGGACGTGTAGACTCCCTGGTTTATCAAACAGAATTACAGTAAAGAAGTAAAACAAAACAGAAAAGTTACATCCAAGGAAGATCTGCGGAGAACCATTCAAAACGTGCGAGACACACTATACTTAAGATGTACTCGAAGGCTTATTTCTGCAAGGGCAGCCTCAACATCCCCAAGCTCTACTATTCAAGAATCTTATTTCCAGGCACAGTGTCCTGGAGCATTTGCAATTTTTCAATTGGAACTCTCAGCACTTTTCTTTAAAAATAGCCTAAAGTCAGAAACTGAAATACTGATCTATTTCTCAACCCCCAAGTTGCTCCTTAGTCAACATAACATTGAACATTTCTGAACAAAGGGATTCTTAACGCTGGCTGTGCTTCAGGCAAGTCCTAAACTTACTAAAGGGAAAATAAGTGATTCACAAAAGAAAAAAAATTATGTCTCTCCTCACTTGGAGAAAGATCTATTTCCCCCACTCATGTTGAATTATGTATTAAATCAGTTCAAATTTTATTTTGGACCACTGATCTATAATTTAACATAGTTGTGAAAAAATGGAAGTTTTGGTCTATTTTATGTCAAGTTGTTTACTAGAAAAATAACTCATTGAGTAGAACCATAAAATAGAGTTCCCCTTGTGTGACTGCCCACAAATGGACACGTTGTACTCTTGGCAAAATTTACACGTTACATTTTAACAATGTCATTGCTGACAATAAAACACTTAAGTTAATACAGAACAATTTCTATATCTTAAATCATAACTATATCCCTCCTGCTACTTTTAATAAGATAAACAAATCTTTCTATGATTAATTTTAACAGTAAATTTCTAGAATATTTTAAAGCCCACACAAGAGAATAAAAAAAGGTTTATGGAATTTTCCTTTAAGAACTGCAAACTGTATTTCACAAATAAAGCTAATCCAAAAAATGCAGAGCAACATTACAGTTCACAACCAGTAAGCATTCAATGACCTGCATTTCTAGGATCCCCTTCGTAGAGGATGCTACTGGGGCACAAAGCCCCATTATCCACGAACCGTCTACCTGTAGGACTGCAGGTGACAGACCCTATAAGACCACATGCTAGAAGGTACTGCTAAGCTCCATTTGTCCTTACCATAGCTGACTGCCATCAAACTGCCATCCAAAATTGCTCTAGGGAAGCAGTTCCTCCGCAATCTTTTCAACAGATTCCCTGTTTTAACATCCACCTGTGTTACTGCAGAACAGTCTGACCCGGATTGAGCCATGGAGCAAATAATAACACTAACTGCAACTCCAGACAGAAAAAAATAGAAGTTAATTTTCCAGACTCTTGTGGGAATACAGAGCATGTCTGCTGAAACCGACTCCAAGGGTTCAACGATATTGTAGACTCAAGTATTTCTTTATATTCCACGTAATGGCTTTTCCGTTCTTGGTGTTTTATAACACACGGCTGAGCCATGATTTAGAAAGTGAGGGAAGTTCTCTTTTTCCCTCCCCCCTCCCTCTCTCTCTCTCTCAAGTTGAATTATACAAAAATTATAATTGCAAAGAGAAATTCTAACAGAAAGCCATGAGCTGTTCCATTTAGTGCTCTTACTGAACACCACCGCTGTAAATTAAGTCAGTTTATGCCAATTTTCTCTATTTGGGAGGAACATCATTTCTTTAGGCATTAAGACTTAATTTATTTCCTTTGGGCTTTACTTTGCTTCATTTTTGCCAGAGAATGACTGGCTCTGCAGTCTTGCCTTGGAGAACCTGACATTGCACCCTTCCTGTCATTTTCAACTCTGATTCATCTTCTTTGGGCAAGGACAGACAGGTTCTTTTGCTGATACCACTGTGAAGCTACATGAGCCCCTCTCTTTTTTTGTGTGCAGGGGCTACCAGGTTCTCTATCAGTTCTATACAGCTCCCTCTTCAAAATTATTCTGAGAGCAGAGGTTCTGGCTATTCTCTTCAGTTTAATTCAGGAGACAGGCCAAATGGGTTCGATTCCATTTAGTCTACGGTCTAGCGTAACAAAGATTACCTAAAAGAAATAGGGTTTGGACTGTATCTAAGATTACAGAGGGAAATAATCAAACACCTGAGGAAAAGATCTTGTTTTTCCCTGACATTAGAAATCTCACTGTAAAAATAACGCACTTGGTTCTAGAATGGGAGTGCACCATGAAATTGTTAGTACAGATGCGGAGATACTTCTAAACAAACACAGGTGTCAGGAAGCTTGAGCGTATAAACAGGGGCACTCCTTTTCGGTGTTTGCTTTAAAGTCTTAAAAAGTAATGTTCTGGATCAACAGACCAGGGCTGGTAGGAAGGTGTGGTTCATCCCTGCTCCACATCTGGCTGGGGGAATACTTGATCCTCAGCTGAAATGAAAGTGCCCTCAATGAAGTCCTGCTTTACAGCAGTGAATAGTAAACTGGACATGGCATGTTGGAATGGAGGCCTTAAAAGAAGCTGGGGTCCGTGATGAGAAAGAGAAGGTTCCATCGAGAGAGCGGAGGCAAGAAACCAAGCAGCACAAATGTTTCGGTTTCCTCAAGAAAGAAGGCCAAGGTGTAAGACTCTTCCACGTGCTCTTATCCCAAGTTCCCCAACATGAGATGAGATGATCTCCCCGACTCACTCGAACATATCTCTGTTAAATTGGAAGTAAAACAAACACTGATGTTGCCAACTTAAAACAACAAGGGTTTGGTTGTGAGCATTTAAGAGCATATTGATATTAGCCTTCAACAGTCTGAGAGAAGCTGAGAGCTGACAGCCATCCAGGACCCACTGTGTGCCAGGGCTACCATGCTCCCTCACAGGACCCCCCAGCGGCCTGGCGCGGGGCGCCTGACTACGCTACAGACGTGAGGGATGGGCCCAAAGAGGGCACGTGACTTGCCCAAGGCTACACCATCTAGACCACGGAACAGCCAGGATCCTACTCAGGCGGGCCTGTCAGACTCCAAAGCCCACATTCTAACTTGAAAGCTTCATCCTTATGAGAGATTCACAGACTAGAATTTTATCCTGGGAAACTATGAAATAGACTCAAATCCAATAACTTAAACAACAACAACTTGTTTTTAAGTTAAGATACATTATGTTCTCTTTTTAAAAATTTATAGTCTAAATTATCCCTTTCCTGTCATCAAAACTAAAGATTAACCTCTATGATAAATTATGGGATTCTCAATAATGTGAAATTATCAAGTTCAAAAAGAGCACAAATAAAACTACTATTATATATTTAAAAACTTAAAATATTCAGGAATGATATATATAGAACATAATATACTTTACACATCCATAAATTACAAGCTGAAAAAAATTACATTCCATTCTTTTATGGTAGATTTTTATTTTACATTTAAAAAACTACATCAAAGTTTTAAAATAACATGCTAAGTTACAAAGACAGTCTTTATGACTCAAAGAGAAATTATGAAAATGAGAATGTATTTAATAAAAATGAAAGAAAACTTCCATTTGAAACATATAAGAACAAACACACACTATTTTTTTAAGAGTTTAACCCTTCCTAGTTGAGAAGTTTTTGGTATCTGTGTCCACTTTTTAAGTGTTTCCATTTCCTCTGCACACATATTTCTGAAGAGTTATGAAGAGGAAGTTTTCTCCTGTATTTTCCCAAGTAGAAAGTCTTCTAGCAGCTCATCGACTTTCCCATTGCTCCGATATTAAAGATCTGGGCAAAGTTTTAATTACTAATTTAGGAAAAAGGTGGCATTTTAAAATTTAATATGTTTTGCCCTTTTCACAGACCACGTAGAATGAAGCCTCAGTATGCTTGAAAAATCTCTTAGCAACTGAGAGTGGAGCTGGCCAACAATGGATGATTCATTGATTTAGCTTGAGTGTGCAGGAATGTCTGCCAAAAGGTCTGAATAAACTCGCATTGCTAGACACTATGGTAAAACGTACCCTGACCTCTTTTAAAACTCTATCAGAGCGGAAAGTCAAACTCACAGCTTTCCAGCAATTCGCTGGCATCTGGAAATACACTTGAATTATAATATCTAGCTTTTACATTAATTGATAGACTTTCTTAGATTATCATTTTCACCTAATTAGATAATAGATGCTACTAATTAAAGATTTCCAAGGGGACCATACCACTTCGTTTTTAAGCACTAAAAATAAAGGTTGCCCATTCAATTTAAATCTGAAAGGAAGCTTTCTGAAATCTGTAACTGAAGGAACTGTTAGTTTTTTACATATTGACTCAAGAATTATGCAAGAGTACCCTAAACAATAATTTGCACATTTAAAATTGGTAAATATCATGCAACAGATACCTGGTGTCTGTTAGTTTATGCTTATACATAGAGATGATACCAGAACATCCTATCTTATGTTTACATAAAATTCAAGAGCTCAGTTCTTTTGCTTACATCTGCCATTTGTCTCCTCCAACATCCATGGGGCTGAATTAATGTCTTAACACCCAATTCTATTGAAATGTATTCTACCGAGGTCCTCTGATTGAGCACCTGACAGGGACCCAGCCCAGCCCAGCCAGTTTTGGTCTAGTCCACAAATAATCACAGCATCACAAAAACCACTGTGGGGCATGGGAAAATATTCAGCCACTGTCACCCATGAAACAGATCAATAACAGTCTGTTAGAGAGGCAGGCGTCTAAGAAACAACAATAAATTGTTAAGAATTGCCCAAACTAAATTTTCACACGGCATTTTAGCTTAGAATCATTGCTTAAAGAAAGTAGGCTTGAGGGTTTTCTTTTGCTTTGTTTTTGCATGGCTTTAAAAATAATTACCTTCACAAAGTAGTGAGAGGAGATAGAACAAAGAATTATAAATTAAACATCTGAAACAACTGCAATAAGCAGCTTTGAGTAAGATTTTAAAAACAAACTACAAGTGTTAAGGTCGAGCAGGATGAAGGGAAGACTTCATGTGCCTGGAAAAGCAATTAGAAAGATAGGGGACCTGCCTTAAGCAGGATGCTCCTTTGCCTGACAGAGTCAATGTTGACCTTGATGGGGGTGCTGAAGCTGGTTGATCGTCACACTGTGCGGTCACGGTGTCTGTCTTTCATCTCCGGGTCGCAGCCCATAGCAAAATGACTGCTCTCTCACATTTTTCTAGATCCAGATGCCAGGACAGCAGACAATTAATTTTAGTGGGTTTTACATATAAAGCACTGTGAAAAAGACATCTGCAGTTCCTGATAGCTGCCATGATGACAACTGCTGAGCCATTTGAGGATAAACTGCTGTGTTTCAGGATCATTCCGAGGCTCTGCATGGAGACTGCTGCCGAGGAATCCTTAGAAGTACTCTGCTCGTGCTGGCTTCTGCTCTGAGAGGGAGGAATCTTAAAGGAACCAGAGACAGATGAGCTGACACTTCAGCTTCAGCACTGTAGAGGCCAATCTATAGTTGGAAAAGGAATTACAAACGGATGAAAGCAGAATCTTCACCCCACCCAGGCGTGGAGGAATCTTTTGCACTGATATCATCAGGGCTTCTTTCTAAATTATCCTTCCAATGAAGACTGTACTTGTAGAATTAAGAAAGAAAGAGGCATTGGACTGATTTTTTAATTCCTTAATGTTAACCAAATTCCAGGCATAGTATTAGTGGCAGGAAATGGAACTTTTAAAAAATTAATTTTGAAACACTTTGTTTTAAGGCCTGGAACAGTCTCATTTACTGTTTTTATAATTTATAAACTGTTTTTATAATTCAACTCTGACAACAAGAACTTATTGAGTGTAAAGTCTACATACCATGCTAGATATTCTGATGCTATTTGTTAAAAGATACAAATGAACACAAAAAATAGTCTCCTGTTGGAACACACTGAATTCCACCTTTTAGGATGATCTATACCGGTTGTTTCCCCTCTTAACAAACCACAATGTCCCCTTCACCTAGTGGAAGACTGCTTCCCGACAACTACAGTCTCTTAGTCATCCCCTTATCTAAAAGGTCCCCCCCTCTTCTTCACTGTCAATTGCTAAGATGAAGCTCGAAGTCCCCCTTCGCTTCTCTCCAAATCCCGCCTCTTCCCATCATCATGTTGAGGGCATCTGTTGATGACTCCTCTGCCATCAGCTGGAGGGAAATGAGGTGGATGGAAAGGACACCCTCTCTATTCCTGGGAAAGCACAAAGCTGGTTCCCTAGGGAGTAATGAAGCGTCTCAAGAGAAATACAAATAGTAAATATGTATGAAATGATTTGGTGAAAGGTTACTTTGCTACTGTATTCTGAAATATATAGCTCGAGTAAAATGTAAAATAAATTCATCATTGTGCACACATGAGTAGAATCAATAAAATTAAAGTTTTTTTTTTTAACAATCTGTAATTTTACTTAGAACTTACATATCACCTTGCTACATTACCATTATCAAGCTACAATGAATTTTGATGGAATCAAGAAAATTCAGTGCCCTTTAAACAACTGAACCAAGTCTCTGATAATCAGGAAATAAAGGAGATTTCCATATACTTTT